ACGATTAGAATAAGAAATGGTAATAATCCTAGTTAAATATATCTGTAAAAATATATCGCATGATAATTAGAATCAATGAGACTTCGGTGTAAAAAGAAGCTGCATCAACCAATTTTAGTTGAAATGAACTCTTACCTCCCTATCTTATTGTGCAAAAAAAAACTTAATGTACAGACTTTTGCCTTCACAATTTTTTATTATAATGATAATGATAAACTTATCATTACATAATCTTATTATAAAGTAAACTTAGTACAAACTGGCCGAGTGCTACGTGCTCACGGTCATGTCGGCCGTCGCGAATATACACATATTACTGAAAACATAACTATTATTATTGTATTATGTAAACAAATAGAAACAATGGACTCTCAGTGCGGAGTGCGTAAGAGGAGAGAGAACAACAAACTTTGTTTCTTGGAATAGGTACCGATTATAAAGGCTTATATATATTACAACGGGCGGAAAAAGCGCAGGCGCGATGAGTGCAATACAATTTGAACAAACAGTAAAAGTGGATTTAATATTTAAAATTTTATTGGGCAATAAAATGTGATACAAGAGATTTACGCTGTTAGGGTACACTATCCCTTTTAAAGATTTAATTCAACTTGATACACGTTTCTGTTATAAAAACTTTTTAGTCGCAATTCACACAAACAAAACGACTGGTTACAGTTAATATGATAAGACTTTATAAATATATAAAATATATTTTATAAAAATGCATAGGTAACTGACTTAGTATGAGATATTAAAGAATAATGTATAAAATAGCTAATAAAAAAAAATAATGGATGCTAAGGACACTATGCCGACAATAAAAATGAGATTGAGACGAGGCAATGATGAATCATCATCATCTCAGCCATTATGATGAATAATTATTTAAAAATTATTTTCCTATTTTAACTATGTTTTTTGAGGAAGAATAGATATTTGTCCTCAATACAATAACCGTTTCATAAATAACATCACAACATTTCAAAACTGTTACAACTGTTACTATTACAAGATCACACTCGGTGATCTTGTAATATTACCAATTTTTTTATATTGTACTCGCAGCGCCCTCTAGCACGCGACCGTTCACCACCGTCGTAATATGCATAGTCCCTAAAACTCACCGTCACCCAGACTGGTTCGAATGCAGCACGAGCGATATGGTACCCTTGAATACACTGCGTTATTAAACTTGGAAGCACATAATACAAGGTCAAAAACTGCATTTGTATAGTTATCAAGTATATGAAAATTGTTTGAGAACTCCATTCAATTCTTAAGTAACGCGACGTCTAAATGAGGTTCTCAACACTTCGAACGAATCTTTTTATTATATCACGTGATAACGTCGCCAATTCTGATCTGATCAGATTTTCACAATTATGTACGTAGTCTATGGTATTCCTATACTGGTCACATATTATTTTTATAACGATTAAAGATGCCGTCTTTCTTTACAGAAAAAGGAATTTGCTTGTTGCGAAACAAAATATGCCGACTTGTAAGAGATACAATATCGCGTTCTAAATTCAAATATTTTCAGTCTAAGATATTAATAATCTCATCGTTCATCCATGTTTTGTGTTCTCGAAATAGCTTTTTTCAAAATAACAAATGCAATCCAAGAACGTTAAAAATACGGGATTTCTCTATTTCATCCGGGGTAAATAAATTTAACTGCGTTTTTTTTGTTCAATTCCGTTTTATTTAAAATTAAAACTATACTTTGTTACAGACTTTGCTGCGCGTAACACATCTTTTTGTTGAACATGTTTATACAATGAAACAATCAAAATCGTAGTTAAACATGGTTAGCAATTCGGTTTTAATTAGATTCGATTCGCATTTATATGAATTGCTTACGGATTCTCGTAAATACGAGACATGTTTTATCTTGGCAGGACGTTGAAAATTATGTAAAAAAAAAATGCGGGAAATACTAGACGGTTCATCATCATGACTATATCAGCCTTTAACTGTCCACTGCTGAACATAAGCCTTCCCCTTGGAATTTTTTTTATGACATGATAATGGAATGGTAACCCAGCCTACGCTTTCGGTAATCGCGATGGTTTCCAGGGAAAACCGCGTGGAGGTCAATCCATATTGCTAGTAATGGTGCAAATTATTAACAAATCCTTCTCCCCCCCCTGGGGGTTTTGCCAGTAGGTGCCACGATTCACAAGCGGATTAACAACCGCAGTTAAGCTTTGAAGACGTTTTATGAGGGACACTGCTGCTCATCCCTCGCCCTCCCTTAGTCGTTTCTTACGACACACAACTACACAAACAACTTTGCAGTCGACATCGTTTAATACCTACTGTATAACACAAAACCTACACGTTAAATAATGACACATAATAACATAATCAACGCCTTTATCGTTACATTTGTTTTCAAGATTAAATTTGCTTCTAAGAACATGGGTTTCTTTAAAAAGAACTAAGATAACTTTATAATTTATAATGTTTTAGGGTTACGTTAAATGGATGCAAAAGTATCTCCATCTCCTTTTTTTTTTATACAACTTAGAATGGCAAACAAGCTGACAGTCCACCTGATGGAAAGTGATAACCGTCGCCTATAGACATGAGCAGTACCATGGACATAACAAAGTATACTGTTTCGCCCATGATATCCCCCATGCGTTGCCATTCCTGAGGACTCTGATGTTATTCCTCTGTACCAAGTAAATTCACGCCATATCCCACCCTTCAAACCGAAACACAGCCATGCAAACACAGCTGCATCACAGTCGAAACACGAATGGGACAGAGGTACCCAAGCAATCGACTTTTGTACAAAGTCTCCCTCTGGTATACAGAACCTTCAATGATATATTTATTTGTAATCATGGCATAGGTAAATAGAAATAATATATCATATTTATCTAGATTTGATAAAATAAAAGATACTGTATAAACTGTATATTGTACAATAAACAAATAAATTAAGTACTTACAGTCTGTTTTGAAACATTTAATGAAAAGGTAAACAAATGAATAATGGACCTGACTACAAGACAGTCTGCTGATATTCAATATTAGTATAAATCAAAAACTGATTAAGGATTGAATGGTTTTTTTTTGATGGGTGAAAATGGTATGGTAACCCCACCTGCTCTAACGGGATATGCTGGCAGAGTACCAGTGAAGAGTGATAAATGAGAATGAAAACAGGCCAGTTAGCCCATCATGATGAATTCATCAGGAATTAACCCTGATAGTTTCCAAGGGGAACCGCGAGGAGGTCGACCTGGTTGGATATATTGCTAGCAATGGGATTCTCAGTCTCCATTACTAACAATTCCTTTCCCCCCGATTGAATGGTTTGATTTGTCACAAATTAATGTGAAGTGTTTCCACAATAATTTCATTTTTTTTTTTAACTTTTCATTAAGTTTCTTGATGTAAAAGTGACTACTTCATAATATATTTATCATAAAGACTTATCATCATCACCATTAATTACTACTATTATTTCATCACTAACTATACTCCATAGTGTTTTCCACAGGAATTTTGAGAACCTTTTCTTAATATATAATCAATGCAAAACAATAAAATCTTGTAATAACACCATATCAAGGCAACATCATTTTAAGCTTCCATTTCTCTCCTATTACCAAAAGCTAGGTTTTACAATTTTACATACATATAATTTGTAACTCTATAATCTCTTCTCTTTTCTTCAAAAGTTGGTAACACTAATATAGCAATCAAATAACCCTCCATGAAGCCCAACTATCAATAATGTTTGATTTTAATAAATAACCAACCAATTACTGTTGCTAATAGAAATTTTCTCTTATTATTATTGATATTACATGCTACAGAGCACTTATACTGCTATAGAACACTATATACTCAATTCATTATAATAGTCATTCAAATAATCACTTTTTAAATAATCATTCAGGAACACATACACTTTTTTTAAATAGTGTATAATGCAGTAATGCAAATTTTTATATGAACAGTTTTAAAAACAAAAAGAGTTTTAAGAACTTTATATTATTGTATTTGGAATGAAAACAAGCTTCAAATGAACAGATAGAATTTTTGAGAATATAATTTTAACAAAAAAAATATATAAACATTTACTAAAGTATATACCCACACCTTATTCATTCAAAGACACTCATCAGTTGTATTGTGCTGACATTAATGATTAATTTGGCCTCATCTAAATTGTATTGCCACATACACCTCTAACAATTCGGCATTGTGTTCATGTACGCAATTTGCATTTATGATGGGCAATCTTGTAATTTAGTGACAATGTTCCTTACACACATTGTTCTTTTATTATTTGTCAATGTGTTATATATGATCACATATGATAATAACATTATCACAATAATATAAAAAAAACTTTTAAGTGTATAAACTACTAAAAAAAGAAAAAATATGAAATATATTAATGTAACTAATAAGTTTTTACAAAATTATATTCATTACTTCTATGTAATAATAAGTACAGAGTTATTTGTATTTGGATCAACTACATTAGCCCAAATAATGTATTCCCAAAAATTATATTATTTTAACAAAATTTAGGTATTGAAAATCATCTCTAATTCCCTTCAACCATACACTTATAACAGTCAATTGTAAACCTAATTATAATTTTTACAATTACAAAAATAATAGAAATATAAAAGCTTTTAAAAAAATAAAAACATAAAATTTCTTTTTTTAAAAAATGCTACCTTCTACTTTTAAAAAATACAAAGCTCAATATAGAGACTGAGACATAAACCAAGTTCTAAGTTACACCTACAAAGTCCCAAGAAGATTTTATTATAGTATAATTTCTTCTATATATAAGATTGAGGAAACAAAGTTAAAAAATACCTATCTACAACTAATAATGACAAACACTGTACTATACTTCAGTATGTTTAAAGGATGGAGAAAGGCTCTGTGTAAAAAATTAACTAACCCACCAAAAAAAGGCGTAAGTTACGAAACAAAACTTGAAACTTTTTACTTACCATAAAAGATAAGTGGGTGAAGTCCGATAAAGTCGCAACAAATTTCATGTTCCACTGTTTCTGATATTCATTCCTGTGGTCTTCTATTATTTTACATAGTATAATTCATCATATACTGTAGTTAAAACGGCGACAATAACTTGTTCTCGACACTGTTTATTATTATTTGTTGACACGAAACGAGGTTATTGCCGTTTACACCAACATCTGGAGCTTACTTGACAGAGATTTCACTTCACACTTTGTAACAAACCAACTTTTTGAATTACAATACACATATTTTATTATAACTATTTCTTGGGTAACTTTATAAAGTTCAGCAATTGTAAGTAAGAGACGGACAAGCGAGCAAGTGGCTGGCAAAGCACAGACGAGATGAAAAAAAAAACAAAAATCAGAAACCAAGCCTCACAACTTCCACAAATCACGCAACAGTGTGCGTGAATGAAACGAATAGAGAGACCAAGGAGTGAGCGCGCGCAATACGATAATAGTGTTACCAGTACCATGAATACATAATAGTACTCGGCACAAATGTACACATTTGTTTACTCCCAGGAATTATTTTGATATATTTCTTTGAATATTACTCGTAATAATTCTATTTATATAATAATATAAGCACAAAAATAAGAACTAATAAAACCAGCCCTTAAACAATTTACTCTTTAAAATCCGTCTGTTAAATTATAATCTTGTATAATGAATATTTTACACAGTTTATTTATATTTATCGAAATAATACCAAAAATTATGTCATCGTGTCATATTCTGAGTTAGACTGTGATGTAACTTATAGTAATAGTCCTGTCAAGTGATATTAACTAAATAACATTAAGACAATAATACCCATATCCGCATCCCATAGCGCATCTACAGCGACCCCGCCAGACTTGCGTTCCCAAACAATTCCCAGGTGCTTGCGCTGCGCCAACCAATGACAGACCGCGACGCGCCCGCACACCGAGACGTTACACGTGCTGTAACGTCTCAGTGCGCGGGCGACGGGTAGCCCATGTATATGAAACGATTTAATAAAATATGACCGCATATTTACAATTATCCCGTAAAGTATTTTATTCTTAACGATTTCAGATAACAGATATTCCAGTCCTTTCGATACGCTCTGACTTTTTATTTCTTATTTCGCTATCATTAAAGTAAAACCTTCACAACAACCAATAAATTTGACCCAATTATTAACAACACAGAATAACTAGATGTGTAAAAAAAGTATTTTGTGGGCAACACTAATCGTCAATGTTATTCGCGGTCTTGCTGAACCCGTATGTGTACATACGCGGAAACACACACTTAAAAAGACAGATTGTAATTGGGTAAGAAGTTGTGGAACATTTGCTTCCACCCGCGCACCAACGTCCTTGCGGCCATGGGCCACCGACCGCTTGCTTACCTGAACCTGAGTGAGCCTAGAAGATTGTAGTAAAATAAAACTATTCCTTATTCTTATGACAACACTATGAGGTAGGCCCATAATATTAAAATAGTGATACACTAAAGAGGACAGGTTAAACAAAATTTAAAAAATAGAACATATATGTACACGACTGTAATCAGTAACATTTGTCAACTGATAGGTAATGTTCTAAATCTAAAAGTCGACACGCATAAGTTCGTCAAACATATTTAAATGTAAAGGCAGACGCGAACCTACCGCCGTCACTAAAATAATTTAATTTTGTTATCAGGGTTTACCATCACCGGAGAATGAGCCGGAAATGGAAAGTTTACAAAGTTTTTGTACCAACCAGACTCGAACTCCGACCATAAGCCACTTTTTATCATGGTCTCGAAGGCATAGTTGCAGGTAGCTAGTAAATCTTCACTATACGTGTTATAAAAGATACAAAAATTGTAAAGATATTTGGATGTTTAGATATTTGTATGTTTGTTAATGTCGCATAAACGGCTGAACGAATTTGAACGAAAATTAGTACACAGATAGGTTATCTCATAGCACATAGAAAACTTATGATGATCATCATCATCTTATGTTATTTATATATTATTTATTTTGTATAAGTATACTTTAGAATGTGTGAATTACGTTTTTTTTAGAAGAATTACGAAAGAGATTTATGGAGCAAGAATGAATGGAGATGTCGGTAGGGGCCCTAGACGGACGTATGTTGACCAAATAGGCGACGTGCTGAAGAAGGGCCAAATTAAAAATACCCGTAACCGGCGAGCATGTATGAAAAGATTGATGAATATGGAAGAAGCGAAAGAGGTTTGTTTGAATCAAAGCATTTGGCATTCCATTGTTTCTGCCTACCCTAATGGGAGACAGGCGTGATATATACAGATATGTATGTATACCTTATTAGTTGCTATTTTTTGTCTATCATACAGATTGACTGGTAGAGAATACTATTAGCGTTAAGTACAAATAAGCAAGTAGTAACCTTTTGTACCATACCATTCATTGGATCAATAAAGTTATTTAAATAAAATAAAAATATTTTGTACAGTAATTTACGCTGACAAATCTGCGAGAAACAACTAGTAAATAAATAAATCGTACAACGTGGGTGGGTTTAGTTAGTATTAGCACTTAATATAGATACTTACTATAAGGATATAATATTATAATATTTGTGAAAATTGTATATTTAAGAAACCATTTTTCCTACGCAGAAAATACCCACATACAAATATAATAGTTACGTAAACATAGTAAACAGGTATGTAAATCAAGCTTTTATTACAAATAATAACCTCGTACTGGGTCGTTCGTATGTCTTAACTATTATATTTTATATACAAGTATATATTTGACAGTCGAAAACGATATTTTGCATACTTTGACAAAAGTGTGTAGAGATTGTTAGTAACGCGCGTAAATAAGGCGGGCCTCGTGAGAAGTGTTAACACCGGTATAGCTGGAGGGGAAAGGATTGTTAGTAATGGGGAGATTAGTCCTCACGACGACTTTACGCGGTCTCCCCTGGAAATCATCATAGTTAACTTTTTTTTATGCATCTTAAAATGGCAAATAAGCTGACGGCCCACCTGATTGAAAGTGGTAACCGTCGCCTATAGACATGAGCAGTACTATAGAAATAACAGAGTGTACTGTTTCGTCCATGATACCCCCATGCGTTGCCATTCCTGAGGACTCAGGTGTTATTCCTCTGTATCCAAGCAATCGACTTTTGTACAAAGTCTCACTCTGGTAACTTCTACTGAATTCGTCAAGATGGGCCGTCGGATTTGTCATCATCCTTACGTGTCGGCCCTCACTGGTACTCTAGCAACGTAAATTGATAATACCAACCAGATTGCAACTTCATTATCAGGAGAAAGAGATTATTAGTAATGAGGTCTAACAACTTCATTGTCAGCAATATACGATATCAGATCGACCTTCACGCGGCTTCCCCTAAAAACCAATACTTTTAATTCTTGTGGAATCGTTACCATGAGCTAACTGATCTAATTTTATCCTGACCTATCATCTCTTACTGGTGTCCCGCCAACGTATATCGACAGCCCAGGTGGGGTTACCGTTCCATTTTCACCCATAACTAAGACTCCAATATCGACTTTTAGAAATGAAAGAGATGTACCTACTTAGCTTTTTATAGTGAATTTTGTATTTAACATATAATTTTAATAAAGTAATAGAGTCAACATATGGAGTCACAGACTATGATATGACACATATACACATGACAATGCAATTACTAAGATTCGGAGGCATGAGACTATAGTCCTCAGAAATAGCAGCAAATAAGAGCTACTATGGAGCCATTTAGTCCATGATACTATTCATGTCGATAGGCGACTGGGGGCCGTCAGTTTGTTTGCCTTTCTAAATAACGAAAAAAAATAAAATAAAGAACAATCTCTTCTCTACACTGTGGTAGGGGTATAGAATACTTTTTGTCTAGTTTATGTTTCCATTCTTCTACAAACTAAAATTTCAAATGCCTCGAGCATAATTCAGTAAATATATTATTTATTATCTTTGAAATGAAAAAAAAAATTAATACAAATTCTGCACTAGACACCGGCAAGTAATTAATAATAACTAATTACTCATTGCAAAATATTGTTAAAAATATAATTAAAAAAAAATGAAACGGATATATTAAGCACAAGGACAGGTTATCACGTTCTGATAATAATTACAGTTCTAATTTGCGTATAGTATTTATGATAATTCATAAAATACATGTCAAATGTCACAAATACGCATGTATTGATCATTGTTGTGATAATTCACTAAGTTAAAATCCTGTATGCAAATTATAACTGTAGATATTTAGGTATATAGGTTTTTTTTTTATATATGACAATGGAACGATAACCCTGCCTCTAAGTTCCACATGCGCTATCAGTTTATATTACTTATCATTCCTCACTGCTAGTATCCCACCAGTGAGGAATGACAGATGAAAACGAAAGCAAGTCAGTTGACCCATCATTACGAATTCATCAGAAATATACCATGATTTTGCTCTGCAAAAGACAGTATCAGCGTCATTATTCATTACAAAATAAATTAATATTATTTTGTCAAAGCACTGTATAATATAGGTAGGTTACTTTATAATTAAAAGAACTTTAGTTAAGTGAATTTCAACCTAAATTATACTTACATACTATATATACTTATTCTTACACACTGGTATTTTAATGTAAAATATTGCATAATAGACTATTTTAATCTTGAGGATGCTACATCAAAGTACGTATAATACCTATAATACTGTAGACCACGATGTTCGTTTGTTTATATACATAATTACCATATCATCAGTAAAGAGGCCTGTTGATCCGCCAACTATAAACGCTAGCCACTATCTCAAAGCAATCAGTGAGTGAGATCATCCCTAAGTAACGCTATATAATTTTATAATGTAGAAGATTGTAGATACAAATTCTGTTATATTGCAGAATTATCAGTAATGTATGACGCAAATTATTAGATAGTGAAAGTAAATCTTTTACTTGAGAGATTATTACAGTATCAAATACAAATCAACGTATAGACTAAACCGCTGAGGTTAGATACTTCTCAGCCTTTAACTGTCCACTGCTGAACATGAGCCTCCCCCTTGGGAGATTTCTCAGTAGTTGCCACAGTTGGCAGTCGGATTGGTAACCGCAGTCAGGCTTTAGAGATGTTTTAAGAGGGACGCTGCTGTCCATCCCTCGCCCTTCCTTAGTCGCTTCTTACGACACTCACGGGATAAGGAGTAACCTATTCTATACCGGGACAACACGGTCAACGTGTTAATTATATAAATGGGAAAATATAGTTTCCTTTTGTATCGGGATTTCCTGAAATTTTCACGGGAACAGCTAGTAGTTTCATAAAGTATTGAACACTATAACCCTATATAGAGGGGGGAAAAGGGATTGTTAGTAATGGAGACTAAGAATCCTAATGCTAGCAATATACCCAACCAGGTCGACCTCCTCGCGGTTC